CATGTTCCCCAGGTTGTCCCGCACCCACTGCGGCGCCCGGTGGCCCAGCTCCTGCAGCTGCAGGCGGCAGCGCTGGCGCGGGGGCCGTGCTCGTGCCCGCGCCGGCTGCTCCGCTCTCACCCTGCCTTTCCCCAAGCCTCTCCCATAGCTCCGCAGGGTTGTCTGGCTCGGTGCGGGGGGATGCTGCAGTGGGCTACCTTCAACGCAGGAGGTTCCATCTCTGCTCCATGCGCAGCAGTCTTGAAGCTCTCGCTGCTGCTCTTCTTCCTGTTGATGGCATCCTGGAAGGCCTGGAGGAAAAAGCCAGGGTGGAGGGATGCAGCAGCACAGGCTGTGGCCATGACAATCCCTAAATGTGAGGACCAGGACGTGTCCTGTGACGGGGGATCAGTCCGGAGCAGGACCCAGGCGCCCAGCTGGGGCAGGCAAAATTCCTCCCAGAACTCAGCCGTACCTTGATCCAGGAGTTCATCTCCTCCCTGGACCTGGGTGCAGAAAAGGAGATAGATGAGCTGGTGTCCCCTCCTCCCTCAGGAGCTGCAGGACTGTCACCCTTCCCCTCACCTGGCCTGCAGCTCCAGTGTCCGCTGCTTGCCGGAGACCAGGAAGGTGTGAGGAAACTCCGTGTCGTTCAGCTCCCGGACCTGGGAAAGGGACCAGGGAGAGGATGGGGGAGAGCGGAGCCCACGTCCAGCACACTGAGACCTTCCTCCGTAGCGGGGGACAAGGAGCTCACTTGGACACAGGCCCTGTGTCCCCTCGGACACTGTGTGCACCGGTTGGCACTGTGATCCCACCGGATCAACCGCATCCACGAGGCCACCCCTGGCTCCAGCTCCTCCCTCCCTCCCCAGCAGTCAGAGCCAGAGCTGCTGCCTTTGTGGGGAGCCTCTGGAACGGTGCCCCGGGACACGGGGGACAACGCGAAGGCCTCTCTGACCTTGAGGCCATCCACGTCGATGCGGAGGTGGACCTGGAACTCGGCGCCCACCTGGATCACCTTGGGCACGCAGTAGAGCAGCATGTTGTTGAACTGGGTAGTGGGAGAAGGAGAGGGTCAGGCTGGGCCTGGGGGCTTCCCTGGGATCTGGGGTCCTTCACCCTCTTGGGACTGAGCCAGTTCTTGGAAAGGATTTGACTCCAGAACTTCTGCCTCAGCCCTCTCCCACCCCGCGGAGGCAAAGCCCTCCAGGACAGTGACATCCCTGATGGGCTGCAGTGTCCCAGCCACATCCTTCACAGGGTGCCAGCACCGGGGGCTAAACCCTCCCCGCTCCGAGTTCACCCTCTCCCTATCCGTCCTCCCTGCCCCTTCCCCAGCTCATCCCGGCTCCCACCAGGAACAGGTACTTTTCCGACGTGCTGTTGCGGGAGGAGATTTTTAGGACTGGCCCTTCCTTGATCAGCTCGTTGGAGGGATCCACAATGTCGTCCTCCAGGCCCAGTCTCTGATAGACCTCCCAGAGGTTCTGCAGCCGCTCCTGGTGGGGGCAAGGGGACACTGGAACGACCTGTTTCTGCGGGGATCTGAGCTCTTTTTGGTCCCCTCACCTCCCCGCAAGGCATTGGAAGACACTGATTGCTCACCAGCATCTTTGGCTGGAGGTGGCAGTGCAAGGATGGAGACGCAGGGGACAAAGGGGGACAACAGTGGCAGGGGCAGAATGGAGACTCCCAGGAGCAGCTGGAAGCTGGGCTGGGAGGCCAGTGGGGGGAACAAGAGGCACAAAAGGTGCCAGGGACGTGGCCGCTTCCCCATCACCCCAGACAGGGTGTCACAGCTCAGCCAGAGCCTCGGCCACCGTGTCCCCCTCCCGCTGTCCTGGAGCAGCGGGAACGAGCACCCACCATCTCCGCGATAGCCGCGTTCGAGTGCTTGGCCACCATGAAGATCATTTCCAGGGCCTCTGCAACGAGAAGGAAGGACTGTTAAAGGGTGGGAGGAAACCCCAGGTCTCTCCCATCCCGGAGAGCCACATGTTGCTGCTGCTGCTGCTGCTGCCGCCCTCCCCTGGCCACGGCTCGAATGGCCTTGACGGCTGCACAGGCGCCTGCGTCCGGCTGCTCTGCGCGGCACAGAGCAGCGCTGGGGGGACAGACAGGCTGGGCATTTATCACCCCATCCTAACAGGATGGGGCACTGCATCCCCTGGTCACTGCAGATCCGCCCAAGGATGCTCGGACCATCCTTGTCCCACCACCCTTCCTCACTGACCTCCACACAAAAGGGCGGAATATTCCCTCCCTGTTCGAAAGGACAAGGCTGAGAGGTTTTTTCCAACAGCGCAGGCTGACGGGGGAGAGAACGCGTGTCCTGATGCTCCTGTACAACCTCACGGGCTGTCGCTTCCCCGCTAAACCCACCCCGCTGCTCCCCGCCACGGCAGAGCCGGCCGGAGCCCTTACTCTCCGCGTCGGCCCTGTCCGGGGACGCGGGCGGCAGCTTTCGGACGTAGTCCTTGAGGAGCAGCTCGTAGCGCGGGATCCTCTGCACGGGCTCCAGCATGTGGTGCTGCAGCGTCAGGTTGGCGCAGACCTCCCTCTTCTGGGGACAGACCCCCGGGCAAAGGGAGAATCCCAGGGACCACGTTGGCTCCCGCCTCGCGGATTCCCCAGCGGGAGAAGCCGGGGAGAAGGACTGACGTCCCCCCCTCGCCAAGGGGCATCACCTGGATGTCAGCAATGAGCTCCTGGAAGGGGGGCGATTTCTCTGACCAGACGGTGATGAGCTCCACGGCCTTGTCAAAGTTCTTCACGTACTCGCCGTACATCTTGAGGAACGGCGCAAGCTTCTGGATCACATCCCCGATCCGCGGGTTGCTGCTCCTGCGGGAGGATATTCCTCAGGCAAGCGGGGAAGATGGATAGCGAAGGTTAAAGCAAAGGGGCTGCCTGGGCATGACGGAGGACACAGATTTATCACGGTGACCATGCACCATCCTGCTCTCCAAAAAAGACATGTGTCCAGCACCAAAAGCCTGGGAACTTGCCCGAGTCCCCTGAGGCATCACTCCCTTTTCCAGGAATATCCTCATCTGGGCTGGAGTGTTAAGAAAGCACTTTCCAGCACAAGGATATCTGGAACAAAACAGGCCGAGCTCCTGTCGCGAGACCAAATGCACCACTGCTTGCCCATCCTGGGAAGGAACCCAGTGTCCTGCCCTCGCCTCCAACTCACCAGTCCTCCATGCGCTTCTGCAGCTCGGGCAGGAAGAACTGGGCATGGAACTGGTAGATGGAAGAGATGTTGGAGAAGATCATTTTCACCACCTCCTCTGGGACCGTCTTCCCATTTCTGGCTTCGTTCATCAGCTCCGTACAGAACACCTGGAAGAAAGGAGGGGTGAGCAAGAGAGTCAGGAAGGGGCCCTGTCCCCTCTGGGACCGGCACATTGCTCAGCGGAGGGGACCGACTCCAGCCAGGATGCAAATCCCAGGTCCCAGGGGAGAAGCAGGAGTAAAATGTAATATGGGTTTTGCTGGGAAGTGGAAAGAAGCGCTCCTTGGGAGCATGGGCCAGGCAAAGGGCAACCCTGGCCCTGAGGACCATGGGTCTAGCACAGCTTCCATCCCTATGGCTTCCCGCTCTCTGAAACCTCCAGGGAAGAGTCCCCGGGCCGCACGCACCCTGAGCTGCGCCCAGGGCTGCTGCAAGGTCCCAGCCTTGGACTAACAAATCCCGAGGCTTCGTGAGCGGGAACCTACACTTGGCCCTGCCTGGCTCAGGACAGGCCCAGCCCAAGGGGCGCCCAGGCGGCAGGACGGTCCCCTCCAGGGCCACTCACCTGGTCGAGGAGGTGCAGGTGGCCCACATAAGCCCGTTCCGTCTCCAGCAGCTCCAGAGCAATTTTCTTTTCCTCTGGCTCCTGTGCAGGGAGAAGAGCTCAGTCCTGCGGGCAGCAACAGGACGAGTCCCCCCCCAGCCCGGGGATATTGTGCACAGCATCCGACCCCGACAGCAGAGTCACACAGGACCATCCCCATCCGCATCTATCTGCTCATGGGGAACCCATCCCGTGGCTCCCGGGAAGCTGCTGCTCCTCCATCTCTGCGCTCCAGCCCTGGCAGGGGCACAGCTGCTTCCAGGAGCCAGCAGAGCCCTCAGCTCCGCTCCAGCCCACGCGACTCCCTGCCGGAGCGCGGGCACTGGCCAACCTGGCTCGTGCTGCTTCCACAGCTTAACTTGCCGCCTGCATCGAGGCCCGGGTCCTGCTGCCTCCTCCAGCGGCTCTCGCCGATCTTGTGCCGGAGAGAGCGCAGGCATTTGAAGCTGAGCCCCCGCTGCCCCCGCTCCGAGGAAGGCTGCGTCTCCTCCTCCTCCTCCTCGCTCTCTCGCTCCGCTTGGGAAGAGCCGCCCATCAGGCAGAGCCGCTGCTCCCGGCTGGCCGAGGGGCCGGGAAGCCCTTGCAGACGGCGGCTCGCGGGGCTGGCGCGGGCGTGCGGAGCAGGGCGATCCCTGTGCGGGCTCCAGGGAAACGTGCGGGCCCTGCCAAGGAAAGGGCTCCGTGTGGGTGGCTTTGCAGAGGGATGGGTTTTCGGTTGCTTTCTCACTTCCCTTTCCTGGCAACAAGAAGGATGACAGAGCGGCGACGGAGGAGAAACCACACAGGGCACAGGCTTGGAGATGCCCGTGGTGGGTCACCTGCCACCCGAGAGCTGGTTCCTGTGGTAAATAACTCCAGGCAGGGCCAGGCCGGGACTGCGGCCATGAGTGCAATGAGGAAAAGAGGAAAAGCAGGACGAAACCAGACCCGAACTGCAAAGCTGCAGCCAGGAGATGTCTCGCGTTGCAGACAGCCATTTGAAGGTGGTGACAGGTCCATGCTCATGTTTTTAAGCACCTACCTGTGAGCACGTGAGTGCTGCCCAGCCACACGCATATCCCCTGTGTGGGGATGCATAATCCTGCATGAGAGAGAGGCTTTATCCATCCCTCCCGGTGCCCCCAGAACCACATTGGTCAGAATCTACCACTGAAACCCAGAAGAGAACTTCTCCCTTTCCATTTGCAGCATGACTTGTGCAGACCTGGGCTCAAACTACTTTCTGTTCCAGAAAGAACTTGCTCCCAGGCTCCCAGCTTCTCCAAAAGCTCTGGCAGTTGCTTTTGTTTCCTCTAAGCAAGGCTCCCATTGCAACAGAGACGCAGCAGCAGCGGAGCACAGGCCCCAACCACCACAAACAACCCCAGCACGGCGATACCTAACACCAAATTTCCACATGGAGCCCAGAGCTGGGGATGAAGCATGGAAGGGAGGAGCAGGCAAAGCCCCCGGAGCAGGAGGAGGGAACTTCCAGAGGGAAATCACAGGAGCCATCCTTGGAAGTGCTGCAAAGCCCATCCACGCGAGCCCATGCTCGTAGGGCTCCCCGGAGCCGCTCAGCGAGACGCAGCAGGGCAGGAGGTGCCATCTCGGTGTCACGGTGACGCCGTGGCGCTGTCGGGGGCACCTGAGCCACGTTGGCACCGAACCCCCAAATCAGCCTCGGCCCCTCGAGGTTTTCAGCCTCCACAGCTCCCAGCAGAGGCAGCGGCTGCTCGTGGCGCTCGGCCCTGCGAGGCGTCCGTGCTCCCTCCCCAGGGCCTCCATCCGGGCGGCGTGGGGCGGTCCCCCTCACCTTTGCTCCTCGAACGTGGCCACCAGCTCCGAGACGCTCCTGGGGATCTCTGCCCCCATGCCCTTGTCTCGGAGCAGGCCTGAGGCTGCGGGGGTGGGCCCTGC